CTGAGGACGTGGAGGGGATGCCCGAGGAGAAGAGGGTACCGGAGATGGGGGTGGAGGTGGTATCGAAGGTGGGGGTGCCCGTGCAGGGGATACCCGAGGACGTCGAGGGGGCATCGGAGGTGGTACCCGTGCAGGGGATACCCGGGGATGCCGAGAGGGTACCGGAGGAGGATAGGGTACTGGAGCTAGAGGTGGTACCCATGCACGGGATACCCGGGGATGTCGAGGGGGCACCGGAGGAGAAGACGCCAGACTCGCCGGTCGTGGTCTTTGTGTCGGAGGAGGTGGTCCCGACAGCGGGCGAGGGGGTCGTCCCGATGGCTGGGGAGATGGAGATTCCCAGGGCGCATGAGGAGCGGGTGGTCGGCAAGAGGCCAAGGGTGCCATCACAGTACGTTCTTTCTCCCTTTACCACGGAGGCGAAGAGGAGAAGGTTCGTCGACGGGACGCACCTGAATTTATTCAGGGAGGTGGACCACGCCAAGTGGAAAGCCTTTAAGACAGAGTGGAGAGCATTGCAGCCTGGGTCAGTTTTGTATTTTATGTAATTACTATAGTACGCAGACGCTGACACATGTATACTTCATATAACTAAAAATTCTGTTCTTATTTTTTCAGGGCCAGCCGCACGATTGCTGAGAAGACGATCTCAAATGCTTACAAGTGGTTCCACGACATCACCACTTCGGGGGCTTGGCTCGCCGACGATGTAAGTGAAATGAAAATATTGTTATTTATTACGTACGTTCAAAATCAATTTTTTGAATGAAATTCATAGATTAACTCCTTTCTTTATTGGTGTTTCTTGATGTAGCACATCGACTTGAGCATGGATTTGCTACGGGATCGTGCTGAAAGACATCCAAAATCGTTCAACATTCCTGGCAGACTCATATTGAACACCGAGTTCATCCGTGCCGTTGACATTGAGTACCAGTCGTTCCAGGCTATGGGTAGCGAGTACACGGTGCCGGAATATATGATGGAATGGGTCGTAGGGATGTGGCCGAGTGTCGGTGGGAAGCCATGGGATGGCTGTACGCATATGTACGTACCAGTATGTCTGAATCATCACTACATTGCAGTGGAAATCGTATTCGCCGACTCCACGATGTATGTGTACGACCCCGATCATTCATGCCTGACACAAGGCCAGCTCGAGCAAAATCTAGAGTCGCTGTCTGTGATCGTTCCCATGATGGCTAGACGAGCGAGCATCAATGTACAAGACAGATTGGCCATCGTGCGGAACACGACGACGACGAGGCAACAAATATCGTAAGTGTTTGTAATTTTCTTCCTGTCATTTACATTTTAGTTTCTAACTAATTTTCGATGTGCTAATACAACATTGTTTAATTGTAGGGGTGATTGCGGCATATTCGTCATCAAGTACATAGAATTTTTGAGTGTGGCACATAAGGTTGATGCAATCAACCAGGCATGGATACAAAATTGGAGAAATAAACTAGCATGTGATTTATTTGAATTTAATGGGGATCCGTAAATAATTGTACATATTTTTACATTTATTTAAACATTGTACAATTCATTCATTTATTTGTAATTACGAAAAAATTGTAAAATGTTGATTGCGTATGTAATATTTAAATATTTATTTTACAATGTAGCCTACCGTATAATGCAGTTTTTCTAGAAAAAGTTTCGATTTCAAATCATTAACATAAATAATATGCATAACAAATGCATGTAATGAATGAAATGTTTGAAAAAAATACTAAATCTAATAATTCGCATAAATAATATGCATAAATAATTAACGTCAATGTTATAAATAATTACATTGTCAATAGTTATTAAAATTACACATCCATTACATTGTCATGTAGAAGAATCTAACTTGTACAATATCTTCTATATGCCCTGTTGCACCGCACCTACCGCACTTACGAGGATTGGAAAACTCTCCGTTAGTGGGAGAATGTGATCGGGTACTTCCCACTCGACTTCATTTGGTACAGGAACTATTGTTTCCGCATATGCTGCTCTCCAATAATCAGTCATGTAATACACACTGCATAAGGTGTGTGGTGGTAATCCTCTATGCATAGCCACTGCCACTGCATGTGTACATGGAAAACTCTCCAACTGAAACCGTCTACACGTGCACGTGTTATCATTCAAGTCCACAATGTATCCGAAATTACGTGCACATCTCACGGAGAAGCGAAATTGATCCAGTGGTTCTACATATACCTTTCTTGCCACATCTAGAGTCTTGAAGAGCTTATCTTCTTGAGCCGGGGTTAGCACACTTGCACAACTCTGTGATTCCTCACGTCGATCATGAAACCACTGTTGTAACTTGTCACGAATGTTCTCAATCATTGCAAGAATTGGTAACTCTCGATCTTTCTTGAATAAAGCGTTAAGCGACTCCGCATTGTTCGACGTCATCATGTTGTATCGACGTCCTGGAAAATGTGATCGTGCCCAATGTTCAATCCCCATCTCTGTTAGATACTCCCATGCAGCATGCGATTTACTGTCTATTTCGACCATGAACTTATCAAACTCTTCAAAACTGTAAGCCTCTGCAGCTCTCCTAAACAACGCAACGACGCCATTGCCTCGATACCTGGTCTTCAAGTTTCCCTGTATATGGTACATACAATAACCATGATGTGCTTCGGGGAAGACTTCGGCGATACCATTTATTATTGACTGCCCTCGATCGGTTACGAATGCAAGATTTTCGACATCTCCAATTACTTCCCTCAACTTCGTGAAAAACCAACTCATTGCTAAATCATTTTCTCCGTCGACTATGCCGAACGCAAGAGGTTAAATTTGGATGTTCGCATCTTGGCATGTTGCAATAATCAACTTGCCCCCGTATCTCGCCTTAAGGGTTGTACCGTCGACTAAGATTAAGGGTCGCATTGCATTTCGAAATCCTCGAACACATTGTCCAAGGGCCATAAAGAAATATTTGAAGCGATTTTCGTCATCCTTCTCAATAAAAAATGCCGACCCAGTATTAATTCTTCCCATGTTATAGCAATACCTGGCCAATGTAAATAAAAATAATCATAATTTAGATAATATATTAAATATTAAATGAACAGAAAAATAAACAATTCAATTAAATAATTAATTAATTACATATAAACAAACAATTGAAATTAAATAATTAAAATTTACAATAACAAAGAAATAAACACTTAAACAATGAAATACCTGGCTAATTTAGCATAACTCTCCTCAGCCGAACCCATCAAATCCTCCAATGCACATTCTTTAGCCTTCCAAGTCTTCTGATAGTTTATGACCACCCCGTACTCACGTCGAACATCATTAATGATGTCCGAAGGTCTGTAGATCGTTCGTGGATCCTGGAACTTGTGCATTATTTCTCGACCAATGAACTATGATCAGGCCTGCCTATGATCATTTCGACGAATACCCACTTCGCAAGTATGTTCCCGTGCATACTTACGGACTACAAAGAACTCATTCGTATCCATCTTAGTCGCTCGCAAACGCCAATGGCAACTGTCGTCAACGCAGATAATTGTGTATAACGACTTGTTTGATTTCTTCACTTTAAACTCGAAGTTATGTTTTAAAGCAATCCGGTGCACGGCTTCTTGCAATTCTTTCTTTGATTCGAATAGTTGCTCGACATATACATCTTCATCATCGGGAACTACACGCGAACAATTAGAGGACCGTGTACTCGGTCCGGCCTATGAGCTCCCATCCAACTCATGTCTCCTACGAGATAACTCGTTGTCTTCAACTATCGATGGAATTATGTGCGTAACAGTGTGACCATGGTGAGCAGCAGTGGTCTCGGAAATAACCACATCATCTTCACGAACAATCTGAATTGTATCCCAAACATCATTTACATTACGATTCTCTTCATTTGAAATTTCGTGTTCCCCCTCGTGGACATTCTTCCCCAATAAAGTTACGCAAATAGGAGTCGACTTCCGGCCTTGGTTCAATTTAATTAGATGTTTCATTTCCACTTCAGAAGTAACTTTCATAGGTGGAATTGAAATGGTTGAATGCTTATGAAACAAAAATCCCAATTCCATATCGTACTGACAGGGATCCACGTCAAGCATGTTTTGTATATCACTGTACATTTCTGCGAACGATGTACTCCTTGTTATAAAAATTGCTTTAACCCCATCTCCTTCACTCGTCCATTTCCATTCCCACTGAGCATTTTCATTCATTTGAAATTCACCAAAGTAACAAATTGGGACACATGCTGATGCCATATCTGTCACAAATTAAAAATAAGGAATTAATATATAATTTTTTAAATTGTTCATTTCATATTTAATTTTATTTAATACTTTAAATAATTCATTGATTATTTTAATTATTTCAAAAATATTTATTTCAATTAGTATTTAAATATTTATTAATATTTATTTCAATAAACATATATTAATGAACAAATAAATTCTAAAATCTGAAGGGAAAAAAAAAGGGGAGCTGGGCCGGCTGTTTTCCAGCCGGCTGCTTCCAGCCGGCCCAGTTATCTGGACCGGCTGGAAACAGCCGTCTGTTTCCAGTGGCCCAGAGAACTGGGCCGGCTGGAAACATTTCGCCTAGCTTTTTTCGTCAGTTTCATCTGAAATTTACGCTCGAATTTTTTATTTTTTCCCTGTTTCTTTATTGAACCTTTGATAATTTTGGGAGATTTCAATATTTTAGCAGATGGAAGGAAAAAATTCTTTTTTACTGTATTAGAGAAACTGATAACCAAAACTGATTTTGAAATTTACGTATGGAAGTAACAGAATTTATTTAAACCATTAAGGGTATTATTGTCTGTTAAACAATTGATATACTTTTGTAATTATTAAACATGAATAAGGGTAGAATTGTCTTTTTAATGACAATAGGTCAATGTGGTGAATACAAAAAAAAATGATCAAAATGAAAAATTGGTTGTTTGACCAAACTATTTTAAAAAGTACCCCTTGAATAATACAATTATGCCATTACATATTTTTTCAGTTCTCATGGAAATAAGAGACCGGAAAAGAGGCCTTGATAAAAACAAGGAGCCTATCTTCTTCCCATCAAACACGCACACAGCACAAAATGGCCACTTTGCCGACGACTACTGCTACGCTGAGCTTCCTCTCTCCAAATCCAACCAAGACTCACCTTTTCATTCCCAAGAATTCTCTCTCCTTTTCCTCTCCTGAATTTACCCCTTTTTCCTCAATTCCTCGTTTGGCGTTTGGAAATTTCAAGAAAATCAATCGCATACTTTGTAGCAGCATTCCCTTTGTCTCCACTGACACAACCCATTATGAGGCAAGATTATTGTCCTCGTTTATTTTCTGGGTTTGCTCTGAAATGATAAGATGTGATACTGTTTGTTAATTTTCTTGGTTGTTGTTGAATGCATAATTTAAATATAGAAGCTTATTCTCTAGAAAATTTTTAGTTTACCATTTATCTGCATCTGATTGAAAGATGATTCTGTACATTAGGGAGGTGTAAAAGATATAATTTTTTTAGATAATAAGTTCTCCCCTCTCTAATAGCTTAGTTTAGTTTTCCAACGAGGTGGTGTAACAGTTATAGTTGGAAATATGCATCTAAAGCACAAAGGACTTGGTAATATTATTGAGCTACTATGGTATTGAGTTTGTGTATTAGAAGTTATGCTGATTGCAGAGAAAAAATAAAGAACAAACTTCAGCACTCTTGCCTTCAGGGTTTCAGGTTTTAAGAGTTCTAGTCAATGAACTAATAGTCGAAATTGCCATTTTAGAAATATGTATGTAATGCTATAATTGCTTAAATCAATAGCCAACCTTTGTACATTGCACTTCATGGCTTCTTGAGTATTATTGTGCAAGAATCGTTCAAGCTTAAGTTTCATGCTGTTTACTTAGTTTATTATGCCATATTGTTACTGGAGACAAGGTTCATTCTCTGTAATTTAACATAAATATTGCAAATTACTTTCTAATTCTACTAACGTGAAATCTTATTCAAGTTTAATCAATAAGAGGATGCTGAAACTCTCAGATTATTTTCCCAAATTAGTGGCAAAGCTAGGATATTCTTCCTCTAGAGATCTATCTAGATAGAAACTATAAGATAGTTCTGGCCTCTGGGTAATAAGAATTTCAGAACAGATATATTAAGGGGTTGTTTGAGCCCCATTTTTTTCCCAAAAAAAAAAAAAAAAAAAAAAAAAGAAAGTGTTTTGAAATAGTGTTATGGTGGAGAACGTGTGGTTAAAAAATAAAAATAAAACTCTTGGGTTTGCTTTTAATATTATTTTTTTAAAAATGTGTAGTTGAAATGGGATCAAATCATTGTTAAAGAATGTATTTTGATGGAAAAATGGGGCTCAAACAAGGGCTAAAATTCGAAATTCTTTAGTAAAGCTCTGGAAATGTAATAAATATATAAAATGGTTTAAATAAATAGAAGAACTTGGATATAATTTCTTTCTCATCACAGTTTACAATTTTCATTCCATCAGGCTAAACAACGAGAAGTCTGAATTGAAATCATTTCTTATCTTTCCAATCTTATCTTGTATTTGTTGCACTGCTTATAAGTTTTAAATTTCTATAATGACATTAAACACCAAGTTGGATTATGGATTTCATGTGATATAAGAATATGAATGTGTTGCAGTTTTCTGATGTTTCTTCTGAGGTGGAGTTGAGGTTGGAACTTGGGAAAGAAGGTGTAAGTCCTAAGGAAATCTTTATAGATGCAAATGAGAACTCTTTGGTAATTAAGGTGCAGAACAGTGGATATCTTAGGACACTGCTGGATACAAATAAACTTTATGGGATGATAAAGCCTTCTGAAACAATATGGTATCTGCTGTTGATGATATGAATGCCATATAATCAAAATAACTTATTCCATAGCTAAACTAAAGTTATTTGTCTTCCATAGGTATATAGACGATGATCAGTTGGTGGTTAATTTGAAGAAACAAGACCCAGAACTAAAATGGCCTGACATCATGGAGTCGTGGGAGTCCTTAACAGCGGGAGTTGCACAACTCTTGAGAGGAACATCAATCTATTTAGTCGGGGAATCAACTGAAATAAACCACAAGATTGCTCGAGAATTAGCTGTTGGTCTTGGGTATGGCCCCTGTTCTTTCATTTTGCTAAAAGAAATGGTAGAGCAGATCTATATGTCATATGATTAGTTACTCTACATGCCAATACAATCTTTCTTTTTTCATTTTCTATTTATACAAGTTCATAAATTTGCCTGTGATTGTCTATGTTTATTATGCATTTTGTCATATGATTTCAACATGTGTTTTAAGTGCACAATTGCCATCAGGATAGTAATTCCTGCATCATTTAGTCACAAATTTGAGTAACCATTTATCAATTAAGTGATAAGGAAAGAAATTTGAAGTGGCAATTGAGCTGAGTTTCTGGTTTGATTGCATGTTAGACTTTCTGCCCTCTCCCCTAAATTTTAAATGAAACTTGGTCATACATATCAAATGCTTTTATTATGGTTTTTCTAGCATCCTCTTCTTATGTTATTTTATGCTTCTCAGTTTTTTGTCTTTCTTTTGGTTTAATTAGCTATGTTTCTATCTGTTGTTTGGCAATTTCGTTTGTTGTTAGGTATACACCACTCAATACAAAGGAGATTCTGGAATCATACAGCAAGGAAATTATTGATTCGTGTGAGTACCATAATACTAATGGCCATAAGCTGCATGTTGCCTCATCTAGGGAAAGAGTTTATTATGTGGATTCATGAGTCAGATACACAGCCTCTTTCTCTCTGTGTAGCATTCCTTAATCTAATACCCCATAACGACTTGTAAATTACTTTTGTCAACTAACATGATCACTGGTCTAAGAGTGTTACTCTCAAAATTTAATAAGTGATGTCAGAATTTGCACTGTAGTTCATGGTCTTGTCCAATTACTTTGAATCTTATTCTATTCAAGAGATAAGTATAATATTTAGACATTCTTTATCTCAAAATAATTATATGACTTAGATCAGTTTTCAATGTCATTTGTTAAAGTTATTCACGAGTGTTTTCTTTATTCTTCTCATCTCACCTTGTTCATAGGTTTCTTTTATTTAACACAGCCTATTTCTCCATTTTCCTGATCTAGCACTTCACAGCCAATTAAAGGGTGTCAAGTGCTCTTTTGAGCTTCAAAACAGGCTATCAATATTCGTGCGCCAGATTATTCTTAATGGGGTCACCTATTATCCAAAGCATTTAGTGTGTAACATTTGGTGCAGATGCAGAGGCATGATTTTCAATATTTTTGTATTCCTTCTCTGTTAGTCACATAGGGAGCAGGACAGTATATATTGGGAACATGCACAAAAGGCTTCTTTGCTAGAATGCTGCAAAGAGGGTTCTTTCTAGAAAACCATCAAAGATTGATGTGGTAGTGTTCAGTCTTTGAACTGTCACCGTTTCTATGCAGTGTGAATTACGTGACCAGCATTGATGTCCCTGTTATTGTTTTAAAAATGGGAAGATATTTAAGCGGACATTTCCAAAGTATGGAAGAAGAGATGCACCTAGTTTAGTTGTTAAGAGGCCTTATAGCTAGATAGAAATCTGAATGCTGAAAATAAAGATTAATGATCTTGGAGAAGACTGCCAATGCGTGGAAAGGGTGATTTCGAAATTTAGAGGCAAAATGCCCATTTAGGTTCAAATGCAGCAGATAGTAATATGGTTCCATTTATTGAGAAGTCCATGAAAAGGCCCATTATGACAATTATCTTCTGTAATCGATAGGTTTCTTTCTGCCCTCAACACCTCAACCCCACCCCCCACCCCCACCCCAAAAAAAGGGGAAAATAGAAAAAACGGCACCCCCAAAAGAAACAAGAATACAGATCCCAAATGAAAATAATGAAAGGTAAACAGTGACAATTACACGAAGTCAACAATAGATGTACTCAATATCCTATATACGGCTTATACAACTTTGCTTCATCTTACATTGAGTCAACAAATTGCCACTTACATTAAACATCATGCTATGGTTAATAAGTGTAACCTATTGCAGGGGTGGCCTCACAGGGTTGTGATGCTGTAGCAGAAGCAGAAACTGCTATATTAGAAAGCCTCAGTAGGTAACAACTCCTGCATGCATCTACCGCTTACGTTTACTTGCTATCTATTTTACATTCAAGTTTACTGGTTGGCATGGTGCGCTGCTAAACATATCTTACAACTGACTATGAGTTTCAGCTATGCCCGAGCTGTTGTTTCGACATTAGGTGGGAAGCATGGTGCTGCTGAGAGGCCTAATAAATGGCAGCATCTTTTTGCAGGATTCACTATTTGGTTATCTCAGTCAGAAGCTACAGGTAATGTATTGTATTCTATCTGCAGTTTTTTAACTGGAAGCTAATCTTCCTTAGATTCTGGAGAGGCTTATTCCTTTTGCATGGTAATGCAAATCAAAACTAGGGTTTATTCCTAGGTGCTTTTTGATATTTTAAAAAAGTACTTCGAGATTTGTCTCAATCCTCATCAATTGTTGGGCATTCATTCCTTATGAATCAACGAATTCTTATTCCCAAACTCTTGTGTATTCATAGAAACTATGAGTTTTTAGAATGTCCATCATCACTGTGATTTCAGATGAAGAGTCAGCGAAAGAGGAAACCCGGAGACATTTACAAAATGGTCTTCCAGGTTATTCAAATGCAGAGGTCGTAGTCAAGCTCGGGGGTTGGGATGCTAATTACTCCAAAGCAGTTGCTCAAGCTTCGCTAAGTGCTCTTAAACACTTGATTTTGTCTGATAAGAATCTTCCAGGTGCACTATTGACCGTTATTATTGTCCCTAACTCTTGGTTGTATGTTTACTTAGGCAATACTTTTACTTTCTGAAGTTAAAAAAACAAGAAGGATTGTTGATAAGAAATACGTATAGCTTGAAATTACAAGAAACATGGAATGAAACCAAAACTAGGAATTTGTTTGAATTATGTCGTCAGACGTCATGCTTGCTTGAACTACAAAATGATTTAATTATGTTCCTTCTGATCTCTTAATACTAAATGATCACAAAACGGTCAAAAGACATACTTCTTGGGATTGTACCATTCGAAACTTTCATTGCTATGTCCTACCCTGGTCGGAAAACAAAGGAATCAACCCATACATTAGCATTTCCTAAGAACGCTCAAATTGCAATTTGTCCTAATTTGTTGACAAGAAGTCTTTGTTGGACAGTTATAGCGATATTTGGAAAATAATGCAATTACATTATTTTTCTGGTGAGAAAATGTTTCAGAAATGTTGTTACTTGATGTGAGCACATTTAAGTGCATGTTTAGGATATAGTATGATTTTTAGCTTCATTTTGTTCCTTAATATTGTCAAGCGCTATTCAATATTCCGTGCTGAACATATGCCATATGGTTTAGAATTGGATTCCATTTTTACAGTTCTAACCTTATCAAGTGTCAAAAGGGTGTGGGGCTGGCATATTAGTAGATGGTTTATGAGTTTTCACTTACTGAATATTTCATTTTGTCGTGAAGGTAAGAAAAGTTTGTATATAAGACTGGGATGCCGAGGGGACTGGCCAGATATCAAACCTCCTGGCTGGGGTCCAACGACCGGATCTGATGCATTGTCTCCCCTATCATAGTATCAATCCCTCCGAGTACGCAATTTGGATTTGCAGCATCATTTTTGTCTCTTCCAGATTGTTTTGTCAATGTGTCTTGTTTCCCTCAGGTTCATAAATTTGCTCTTCTATACCAAGGCACTGTATCATATATTGCTATGTACATTCCATGTTGATCGATTATTTGTTACTTATCAGTAAGGCAAATTCTGGAGGGCTACTACTTTCAACTCTCTTCTTCATAGTTAAAGTATAAATAAGTTTCTTCCCTTTTTAAGGGCTTGAGCTTTTGGATGAGATTGTTCAATATTATATCCTCATTTATGAAATTAACTTGAACTGCACTAACACAGAGACGAGAGAAGAAAGAGCTTGGCCGATGCAACTGTAGCCAACCTTAATACATTATAACTTTTATATAAATTAATTCAATAGCCATCTTCGAATAGGAGTTTGGAGAGCTTGAGATGGAGATTAGATAACACGATTTAGCTTATTGATATAAATCGCAATCGACCAACGAGCATTCTCCTAACTAGTATTTTTAATCTAACAGCAAGTTTGGCGTTGTTTAAATGCTACAAAAGAAGCCAAATTTTAAGGATTGTCCATTCAATCTGGATTAGGTGGGGAGTGCACGGGTTTACAGGTGTCAGCCCTTCTACTATTGCTGATGGTCTAATGGAGGAGGGAAGCATGTGGGCAGCGGTGAGGGCCACCAGGGGAGGGAATGTCAACGCTTAATACAGCCAGCCACCCACGGGGGAAGGGACTTCTTTGGTGCAACGGCGGTGGATGGTTCTTGCCTTCTCGGTAAGCAGTACTGAGGCTCTTGCATTGCGACAAGGCCTTTTCTTTGAAATCACCGGGCCTTCAGGTACAGATTCCCTTCGGATGGTCAGGGGGTATATTCAATTGAAACTTTTGAAAACTTTGAAGGACTTTTTTTAAATGATGACTTTTGTGAATTTCGTGAATTTTTTATAAATTTGTACGGAAATAGTGGAAGTCTTTCAGACTTATATGGATTTTCATTTTAAAATTTTTATGAACTTTTGTAAAATTCAAAATACTTTTGAAGATTTTCATTTGAAATAGAATTCACGTGAATTTGATATAAAATTCTCATTACGAAGTGTTAGTTCCCACAATTTCCCCTTTCCTTCTCCTTATTCCCATATAATAAAAAAAATAGAAAAAAATAAAAATTTAAAGGGAAAATTGCAGTCGAAGTATCAAACCTTTCGTTTATTAGCAGACTTTGCCCAAACATTTAATTTGTGTCACCGTGAGTACCAAACCTTTAAAAAATATGCAGCTCAAGTCCAAAATGACGGTTTCCGTCTGTTTGACCCCAAAATCCGTCAGTTGACCCCAAAAATTAAATTGCCCAAACTTTTGATTTGTGCCACCGTGAGTACCAAACCTTTAAAAAATATGCAGCTCAAGTCCAAAATGACGGTTTCCATCTGTTTGACCCCAAAATCCGTCAGTTGACCCCAGAAATTAAAAATCTGATCATTTTTTCCCAAATACAGTAAGGGCAATTTGGATATATCACATTTTCCCTATTAAATTAAAAATTAAAAAAGCAAAAAGAAAAACCATAACCCCCCACCCCATCTCCTTTTTCTCAAAAACCAACCCCCCCCCCCCACCCCCCACACACACCATCTCCTTCTTCCCTAATTGGATGATTACCCATGACCTTTACCAGTAGAATAATGGCACAATTTGATGATTACCCATGACCTTTCCATCACCAATTGAAGTTTGGATAGTTGAATTGAACAATTGGAGCAACATAGAAACATCAAATTCCCTATAACTGAAGTTATCGCACACAGCTCTAATTGCACCCATGAATTCGCTCAATTTTGGACCAAATTGGACTTGACCCATGGCTGGGGAAGGTGCGCCAGGTGGAGAGGAGGTTAGCTATGGTGGTCTGCGATCATGGGTCTACCGGATGGCACTGAAATTTGAGATTTTCAGACCCTGTTGCGCAGGCGACGTGATCGCGACCAGCGATTTTTTTGTTGTTAATTCCATGTCTTTTTGTACTGTTTGGAATTGATTAGGACCATTGTTGGAGTTAGATTGGGTGGGCAATCGACCTGTATTGGGTTCCGATCAAGGAGATGACCGGAGGTGGTGATTCCGACAGTTTCATCAGCTGACTTTGTTGATTAATTGCGACTGAATCCACTGATTTTATGGGGAGATGATCGGTGTTAATTGAAGAGGAGGTCAAGGGCTTTCCGATGGTACCGATATTCAATGATCTAGGTGGTCGAAAGTCATCGGAATTATGCTCCAACTGTGAGGGGGTTAGGGAAGAAGGAGATGGGGTAGTGGGGGGGTTATGGTTTTTCTTTTTGCTTTTTTAGTTTTTAATTTAATAAGGAAAATGTGATATGTCCAAATTGCCCTTGCTGTATTTGGAAAAAATAATCAGATTTTTAATTTTTGAAATCAACTAACAAATTTTGGGGTCAAATAGACGAAAACTGTCATTTTGAACTTGAGCTGCATATTTTTTAAAGGTTTAATACTCACGATGGCACAAATCAAAGGTTTGGATAAACTTTGCTAATAAACGAAAGATTTGATACTTCGACTGCAATTTTCCCAAATTTAAAACCTTGATTAAATAAATAATGATCAAAATCACACACACACATATATATGATTCAATATTATTAGTAAAGTATACTTCAAAAATAAAAATCAATATATTTGAATTTAATGATAAATTTTTCATACAAAATTTTATAATTTAATAAAAATATATATATATTTCACAAAAAAATGAATAAAAAAAGAAAACAAAGACTCCCAATATTGTTGTTTCATCATTAAATAAAAAGGGGCTTCAAGTTGTTGCTTGGCTCTCAATACCAAGCGAAACGCTCAGGCAACCACAAAAATATTGAAGAATAAAGCACTTGATCTTCAGCCACCCTGGGGGGAGATGGAATGGAGAGAGATGACAAGTTAGTAACTCTGAAGACAGAAACTGTCGCAAACTAAGTTTCGTTTTTTAGCATCCATTTTACATCCGACTGAACAAAAGCAAGCAAAACACTTGAAAGAGTTCCAAGTTGAAAGAACTAAACTATTCAACCCTCACTGCAACTTCAAGTTTTACACATTCTGCAACAACAATCAAAACAGTTGATATACACAGAACGCTTCGTTGTTTTATCGTCATTCAAAGGCTGCCTAAATTTCCTTCCTTTTACTTAGATGCCGCCATTTCTCTGTTTCTGCAAGGGTTGCAACACAGCAATATCATTACAAGAGAAACCGCACAACTCCAACCACAATATATCAAAAATAATTTTCAGATAAAAATCCAGAATGATGCCACCTTATTATAAACATTGGTGTGACAATTTTGGTTCATAAGATCGGTAAATAAAAATCATAAAAGAATATAGGTGAAGATATGACTAGAAAGAAAAGAGAAGCATTCATTTGTGGGGCTGTTGCAGGGACAGTACAAATGTCAGTATCATTTCTCACTACATCTAACAGTCCATCTATGATAATTTGTACTAAATGAACTTAGGTGCTTTGCTGCTTCTTGTCTGTCTGTTGGAAGAAAATGGTCAAGGATTACAAGGATAATCATATGATGTTCATCACATAAAAAACACTTCAGTCAAATTTTGCACAAACAGAAATAGGAACACACAAGTTAAGTGTTGAAACATGCATGTACAAGCTTGGGCTGTAAGTGCACAATCACAAAATATGTCCTACCACTACAAACGTATGCATAGATGCCAAATTTATATTGAGCGCCAAAAACATTGTTATTGGGGATCATTTGCATTTATATCTGAATTCCCCAATCCACAAGTAATATGCACTCATCAATGTTGAATACGACCTCGTATGGCAATTAGCACAGAAATGAATTGAAAACCCCAAAGCATCTCATTCTGAGAACATGACCATGGACAGCAACATATAATCATCAAATGAGTACCTTACGCTGATAAGAAAAATATTCCCAAAAATTCATAAACAAAATCTACAAGTCAACATACCTTGCACTGAAGGTTAGTTATTGCAGACCGCAACAAGGCATCTCCAACGATCAACCTCAACTTCTTAACAAAATCATCCCGATTTATCTTCTTATTCTGCCACGTTTCAAGATGATGAGAAAAAACAAAATGGAGACACTCCAGCATTAAAGACAGGAAGAAAGAAGTTAAGGCATAAAAAAAAAAATACCTTGAATAACTCGTAGTTGGCATTTACAAGATCCATATTTTTAGAAGGAACTTCATGTGAGATGGCAGCAAACAACATTGAGAATGGCATCCAAGGGCTCTTGGGAACCCTTGATGAACTCGGATTTGGAACAATAGCATCCTTCAAAAACCTTTCAGCTGAGACATGATGACATTCACTTCCCTAAAAATAAACAAAGTTAAATATATTAAAGACAACAACTGCAAATGAAATATAGGACTTCAAAATCTCCAAATTACAGGACATCAAAACACCGTCAAACTAAAAAAGATGACAGCTATAGAGAGGCATGCATGGAAAAACAATTATCACACAATCATTCCATATTCGTACATCAAAAGATCATGAATGTACGTAGTGATGATACCAAAAGAGTTGCAGCAAGGCATGCATATGAACTCCTAAATAGGCAATTATGAGGGAGACAACGTTCAACATGGCAATGAGATAATCCACTCTAGACATGTTTCAGTCTGACGGTACCCAGCACATCTGACATAGGTGGTTGATATTCAGAAAAATTACACAATGATTTGCACACAGTATAAGAGAAGATACTAAAATCAGATAACCTGGTTTTCCTTAAAGCTCCATACCAATTGAGAAAGTCTACAGTCCACCAATGCACATTGTTGGTACAAATGACAAACCAACGAATTTAACTTGGTGGGACAGAAAAGTAGAAATTAGAGGCAACAAAAAGCGAAAAGAAAACTCTTTCCAACCTTTCGCCACTACGCAATGTAAAGGAAATTTAGATTCAGTGAAGGGCAAACACAAAACTCTGATTGTTGCCTCAGCACTTTAGCCAAATATATACAAACATGATGCAGTTGACACCCATAACTCCTTGAATTTGCTGGAACCTACCAAGGCCAACTGACCAACTAAATCACCAACCAAGCTTGCATTTTTTGCTGACTAGATGCCAAGCATAACTGCCTGCCAATAGTTATTACCTCGTGCCATCAGCATGACTATACCTCCTAACTGATTTAGTTCATGACAACTAACTTCCATTAGTGCATGCATGTAGCTTTCTGTCTACCGACATCAAAATTTTTTCGCCATGCAATGCTGCCATCAAATAAATCAGAATTATTCTGACCTCTGTTATCCACTGTATATGCACACCACCTGCACCTTCATTCATTGCCAACACGTTGCCTAGATTCCATCCTTCTGAAAGTGCACATCACCCGCCCATCTTGCATACATCCGTCCATTGCATTGACATGGGGTGAGGAATCGCCCGTGCCACAGCCATTTCAACAAAAAGGGTCTGACAAACCTCCCATATCAACCTACCCCAATCTGACGTCCTCAATGGACAGTTTCCCACAAACTCTGCATTTTTCACACCAATGCCATTGGAACACTCCCACACCTTGAACTGGCACACACACTACTGCATTCAACATCAAATGCCAGCTCCACCTCATTCACACAATCAAGAGAAAAAACCACGCACATCACAATCCCTTTTCATTTGCAGCAATAATGCATTCAACCAGATTTAAGAATTCCCCAACAGCTTCTTCCATCTCTTTCAATTCAAGCATCAAGCATTGACCTTCTCTCACCTTAGGGCACTCCCTTGCACGATCAGGCCTAGTGCAAATGCAGTTGCCATTGCAATTCTTCAATTGTCTAAAAGAATATTCACCACCTTTCAAATTTTAAAGGCAGATCACAAGATTTCAGCCTCTTTTTTAAAGTCCCCATTTTTCTCATCGATTTGGTTCCTCATAGTCAGATCGTCATCACCCAAATGTAATTCCACCAAAGTATCGTTAAATGATATTGCAGAAGGCAAATATTTAACAACCTAAGTTTCAACTCGGCCTATGTCCATATCTTCAGCCCAGACATAAAGAGCCCATCCTCCTCGAACATGTTTTCTATGTCAATCATCAACGAAGAAAATTCCTTCAATCCTTTCCCTTGCAATCCTCGTTGTATTGCAAGCAAAAAATTCTTCTTAGACGATTTCTTTAGAATTTCAGAAATTACAACTCTGTAGTAATCTCCGCAGTTTAGTCTTCCAAGAATCGGACTGCTCGGCACATACATGCTCCCAATGTCAACCCGATCTTTGAGAACGTGTGCAGCCTTGAAATACTGCATCATGTCCCAAAGAAAGTTCCCCAAATCTAGCATTTCGGGCTCCATCAAAGGAACTTTGGCTCCGGTACCTTAAATCTCAAAGATGCAAAGAAATCCCCCTATTCATCCCATCCAGTAGTTTACATTTGCATCATAGCCATCACATCTCATCAAGTACGCAAAATTTTTGTTCGTCTCAATATTAAACGTCTCAAATTCCTGCTTCAATACTACATGCAACTTTCACGTTTCACGTGCCTGCGCTGCCAAACTGATAGCATCATTAGTCACTGGTCACAACGAAATTCTCTAATATACCAAACTGATCCTCTAAATTTTAGCTTGCCATCTCCTGGTTTCAGCCGAACGCCCAAAACTAGGCTCTAATCCCAATTGACATAGTTTCAACCTTAAAAAATAAAGTCAGCTTGCAATGACACCCAGGTTTCACGTTTCAGTCAGCCCATAAGTGCACATTGTTTGAACAAACAACTAGTTTCTAACTAATTGAAGTAGCATGATAGAAAAGCAGAAACTAGAGGCAACACAGTGTATGTGGAAAATTTTTTCCAACTTTTTATTACTCCACAAAATAAAGGAAATTCATATTTAATGAAGAGCCAAACACAACTCTTATTGGTGCCTAAACACTGGGCCAAATGTATGCAAAAATGATGTTGTTAACACCCATAACTACTTGGGTTTGCTGCCACCTGCCAACGAAGGCCAGCAAGCCAAATAAACCACCTTGACATGATAGCGCTCAGACCAATTGAACTAGAAGACAAGAAAATTAGGTGTACTACAAAAACTGTGAAAACAGTCACCAAGCTTGCATTTTCGCCTGCTAAAAGCCTGAAAATAACTGCCTACCAATAATTATTTCCTCACGTGTCATCAACATGCCTAAACTTCCTTGCTCTTTTAGTTCATGTCAGTTGATTTCCATTAGTGCCTGCCTACCTACAGCTTTTTGTCACCTAAATAATTCAACCATGCAATTCTGCCATTAAGTAAAAAATCTACATTGCATGCCTGCATTACCCACTGAATGCAATATACTACATTCACATTCGTCCATTGTCAACGCTTTGTCTTGCTTCCATCCCTGATATGTGCACATCACCCATGCATCTACCATACATCCGCCCGTGGCATTAAGATGGGACAAGGCATTGCCCGTGCCATAGTTATTTCACTGAAAGGGGTTTGACACCTTGCATGTATCATTCAAGAGTCTTAGAAACAATGGTACTGAAGAAGCACCACAGTTGCGGAAAATGAGGTCCAGTAAAAGGCTTACCATCTTAATCTCAATTCATGACTCCCATTTAAGAATCGTAGATGTAAAATCTCATCAACGCTCAAAAAATATAAATAAATAAACTCCAATCGAAGTGATTCTCAAATGTGGTTGACCTACAAAAAAAACTAACGAAGGCACCCACCTTTCAAATTAATCCACGGCAAATAATGTATGCATCATAAATATTAACTAAAAATACCTAAACAATGAAGTGTTTATATGCTTGTAGAGTCATCGCCTACTTCTAAAACATGTGTACGTATATTAAGCTTTAAAAGATCTTCCTATAGCTCATCAACTATCGCATCTTACTCCTGACCAATCCAATATGTAATGACACATGATATGTCACTTAAATTTAGCTGCATCTACCTAATAAGAAGAGGGTATTTTTTCCATCAACACAAGCTCCCTAATTCTGAGGTTAGGTCCAAACCTTGGAAACAAACCAATGATTTACATGAGTTAGCAATCTTTTCAGCATTGAAATGATGAATAACTTATGTGTCATCATGGATCAACCTTCAGTGCCTTTACAAGAAGCATAGGAACTAGCCTGCGTCTCATGGACCAGATGAGAATGTCAGGCAAAGAGATGAATCACAGTCTTGTGATCAAACAAGAAGCCCAAAGGTAATCAAATCCCATCTTCCACAATCTAATAGCATCAATTTCATTTGGCCTTCTTCCTTGCCCTCGTTTACAATCAATTTCCCGATATGCTGTCTTGAATTGAATCTTAGAGCACACCAGCAACCTTTTGCCCAGAAGGGCGACTCAAAATGATCTCCCAGTCCCGTAGTAAAAGCGCTCTAGGATCAATCTCAGTTTTCACTGGACCATAATGCTAAAAGGAATTGCACCATCCAACTTGATGCCATGACAGATCTGATTTTCACCTAGTCACGACAACGCTGCTAAAAGGATCCATGCATGTATCTTGACACTAGATCGATCTCAATTTTCACCATATCACAAGGCTAAAAGGATCTGATGATCCAAATTCACATTCATGCTAATAAAAGAGGAAGGGTTAGATTATTATTTGCTTGAAGTAAAGCCAAGATAACTCTAGTTGTGTTGTCCAAGTACGAAATTCAACATTGTCATTTGGCAAGTACGATAGAATTGTGATTCCAACAATAAAAGCTGCTCAATAATATATGCAGTTTAGAAGATGTTGGTTTCCCCATAGTAAACACCAAACTGTTTATGTATTTTTTTTTCGGTTGCTCTCAACTTCGGTAGAATCCTCCGACAATAAATCTGAGCCTTGCTTCTAATCACCTTCAATCTATTCAGAGTTCAGAAACCAGTGCGTGCCTCCAATGCTCATGTCAAGAATGGAGTGACAAGAAGATAAGATTGCCTGGTGCAAAATGTTTAATGACCGAACCACATTGATAATCTAGTCGGGTTTAGGCCGTTGCAACCTGCTTCAAGACCTCAGCAAATCCATGGTGCATTGTCATGTTTTACATAATAAAAGCTTGACCGTATCATCTGGCCCATTATTCATTTCATCATTAAGAAAGTCTCCTCAATTTTATATTCCAAAAATTCTTTGACCTTTCAATCAGGCAATTCCAGCTCAAGAATATATATATCCTCCTCTTCTCTGTACTGCTTCAAAACTGACGTCAGCATGAGTTGCAACAACAATAATTCACAAATTCCCATATTAACATACACCAATCCAAATATCCTATCTATTCTAAGAATTAGATCTATCATCTATTTTGGAAATAAGCACATGTATGCCTAAAGTCTACTTGAAAATGTTGAACCAATTCATAAACAATTATTTTTAACAAACTGCAATTTAAATACTCATTTTTAAATCCTTCTATAAAAGAAAATCAGCATCATCTTCCCCTCTTGTAACAGAGACAGGGGATCTGGGAAGGAAGAACAGAACCTCACAGCACAGTATCTTCATACCAGAGCTAGCCATTATTCTACAAGAAGATAAATATCCAAAAACTAAAAAGAATTCTCAAAACAGCAGATTTTGTTCATGTAAAAGTTTCTCCCAAACAACTAAGAACCTAGGGTACACAGGAATGTGGTGTCCCAAAAGTAACGTACATCACTTGCTGAGGATGTGATGAAGTTTCGTATATGTGCATTTAGCTATAGAGTACTCACCAATTCTGTCGAAGGGGAACCCAAATGTAGCTGGGCTTGAGGTTTTTCATAACAAGTACTGACCCCTGAAACATCAACCCTGCTCTCGGTTTCAACCCTACGTCCTGTACGAGCAACAACGAAATTTTTGCTCAAGTGCTAAAAGAGATTAAAGGAGAAAATTAATCAGAAAGGCCAAACTCAAAAAAGTTTTAAACTTAAATGGCATTTCATAAGCTCGTTGCGAAGGTTAATAAGATGAAAAATGAACGGCCTGACTCGAGGTCAAGATTACTGGTTTCTGGTGCTATACTTCTTCTATTTTTGGGCAAGTACACATCACTTGCAAACTGGGGGGGTTAAGTTTCTAAAACAAAGAAACTATTCAACAATAGAAACTTGTCAGCACCTTATATTTTTTTTCATTGACATAGGTCATTAACCTCTTTTACAAAATTAAGAAAAAAAAATCAACTCTTGGACCCTCATTATGGATGAGAACACTACAACAAACACCTCTAGTGAAAACATAAGGTCTGCAGATGCAATATCAATCCCAACAGATGATTTTTTAAAGACAATATAAAGAGATATCAATGTGCGAGACTAAACTATCACCTTCAACATCAGAAGCCATCTTGAAACTAACAACGTATTCTGGGTAGATGTGAGAATTCATATTTGTGTTCCAAACTATATACCACTTGGGATTTTGAAGATTGTCAACTCCACTATCAAAGTCCTCGCTGCTGGGATGGAACTGTTTTCTTCCAGAACGAACAAGCTCCATGTTTCCCATTATTACACGACAGAATACCACGTGTCTTGTATCATTTTCGTCAACATCAAAGTAACTTGCACTGCAAGTAACAGTATCGTGCAAATAAAAGAAAAAATCAAACAAACAAGACTTAAATCACGAACTTTCAGATGGAGGTATTTTATTCCATGCTACAAGAAGTAACTAATAATCAATAGTCATCTATATTTGAGGAGAAACGAAAGTAGTTTCTTGTCAGTAAGATGACCAACTGAAAGACAATAGCCAACCATTTAATCTAATAACTCCTGAAAAAAATTATGCAGATAACCAGCTAGTAAATGATGTAGCAATAGATTCATTATAACTATATTAGCACAACAAATTTAACCTACCGCTGCCCAAGCCGTTGAATTTATTTCCATGTTATCTCAAATAATTCAGTGGAGAAAAGAGAGAGTAAACTACATCACACCTGATCTCTGCACAATCAGTGGGGATAAGATAAATCCCAACCCCGTACGTTCGTTTAATTTTAGACAGCTCATAATGGCCAACCCCATACTTCATTATACCCGAGACCGTTCCTTTAGAACAAGGAAGCCAAGCATACTGGACATTTGCATCCCCACGGTACTTTTTAGTAATTTCAACCTGTTTCTGGAAAAGCTCTAACCGAGCTTCCATTGTAGTACTTGAACCACGATGCACTTCAACCACTTCTGCACGGGCAGATGAGCCAATACCTATGAAAAATATCTTCTTTACAGTATCAACATCCAGAAAACCTTGTATGTGATCATCCATCATGACCATTTTTCCTTCCATCTCTTTATTTTCTTCAGATTTCTCATCAACTTCCACAGCTAAGACCCTGGTACAACTATTATTAACTTCATCACAATCTTTTTCAGCAGGATTCTCTTGAACTTGTATTTGCTTAACATTTGACTCCCCAACAGATTCCTTCAACTTAAAAGCATCTGATCCATTTATTTCAATCTCAAGATGTAACTTGATATTTTCAGGTCCCTGGTGCTCAGAGTGACCATCATCAAATTCATACTGGGACCCTTGAGCTTTGTCATAATCAGCAAAGATTTCAGGGAAAAAACAGTTTCCACTCTCATCAATCCATGCAATAGGTTGATGCACACCAGTATTCAAGTCCAACTGCATCATATGGAGGAAGTCCAGTAAAACAACATTACCATTAATATCCACCTCCACAGCAGTCTTCTTCGCGATAAGGCCTTTCTGAACCGATTTAACAATATACTGGGGAAAATCATTCCATTCACCATGGTAATAATACATTAAACGGTGTGGAAGCCCACTTTTCTTGAAGTTCGAATAATATTTAAGCAAAGATTTCCCAGAGAATATGGAACAAAAACCATGATTGCTTTTAGATTCATTCAATTTCCTCCGTTTGCCAAGCTTGTGGATGAAAGAACTGGCAGTAGATCGTAGAGGAAACACCACATCAGTATCCCCCTTAAAACAGGTCCCACTGGTCGCTCGCTTTCTCTTCAAGTCAACAACAGCATGTTGACCACTATCCAATACCCTTGCAAACTTTGCTTCCATTTCTACCCACTGGATCAATCCCAATCCCCTGATTCACACTCGAAACTTCAAAGGTGACAAATTCAAAGATCTCGGTCTTTATTTTGTCTCATATAAACAAAGCCATTGGTAAAAGTTGACAAATCCTAGCAGATGACACACAATTTCATCATTTACCTAAAATAACTATTTAAACAATAACAGTAGTTCATCACTAATGATCAAAAAATATGTCCAAAAATACTGGGCAGTCACAGTAAAAACAATTATCTAAACCATAAATCCAGAATACATGGAGAAAAACTAAGGTGCTAATATGCAACAATATGTAAAAGACTTCATTCTTTAGAACTCAAATCCTTGCAATAATGGAGTTGCAGCGCATCTACAGAGATATTTGTTTTATGTGTTATTACGTAAATATGGGTCATGAAGTATACAGGAGACAAAAAATAAATAAATAAAAATAAAAATAAAAGAAAGAAAGAAAGAAAAGAAGCAAACTCAATAACCTGGCACTTTAGCATGTTCATTACAGAATGAAAATTTATTAAGCCCCAGTTTGAGCAACATTCTCTAGAAACTCATTTTCCCCAAACTCATTTTCAAACACATATTCTCCCAATAAAACAATTTTGCATATACACCAAAACATTTTCTTACTTTTTAACCACACATCCTCAAAAAAGTCACTATTACAAAACTTAATTTTAAAAAAATGTGGCTCAACAGAGCCTAAATAGAAACTATTGGTGATTGGAAGTTTGTTAAGAAAATAATGACATTACAAGAATATAGGATAACCAATTGTATTAATTCATTATCTACCTTAATGATTCTCAATTTCTCATTCCTTCATATAAAGTAAAATCTCTATACCTAAAGAATGTAGTTACTTTATCTTAACAAAAGAAAGAGATAATTGTTTATAAGCATATTCTCAAGAGCAGGAATGCATACATATGCTATGGAGTTCAAGAAGGCTGTGAATTGTATCCTTGGTAATTTATTTGGAAGGTTTCCAAGACATGAAGCACACGAAATTTGCATTAACTGAAACATTTATGCATGCAATCTCCTAGGTAGACCAGGACGATAGGCATGATAGGTTGTTTGGATCAACAAACAAAAAGGTTGAAGTAGAAATGGTTAAGCATGAAACGTTTTTTTGAAAGGAAAAAAGTGGCCTCTTAATGACTTCTATATAATATGGGTCATTATTTCATATTTCATGACTCAAAGGCATCACATGTTATATTTTCAACAATAAAAATTTTTGCAGCGGCTATAACCACTAGACAAATTAAAAACCAGACCAAAGCCCTGTTGAAACATCCATCCAGACAGACATCTGTCTACTATATAATTACTATAGTAGCCAGACAAGCTTAAAGCCAAAACAAAATTTCTCTTGAAAGGAAGTGATCAGAAATACTGTTTAACTAAATATTCATTACTAGAAAACAAGGCAATCCACATCGATGACTCACATTCCATTACAACTAGCGTATCTACGAGTTAACTACCAAGCATCATTAAATGAGAAAATGGTATGCATAGTATAAACTACACTTGCTATTAATAATTATTATGAAGTCGTATATTACAATATCCTCGTTCAATCTCTCACTTTCCGCACTTTACTTTTCTCCGAACATTTGCAAATGCAGGAAGTTGGTCTTACTGGATCTTGATTATCTCAAAACATGTAGAAAAGGCAATTTATTTTTTTTGTTTCTCAAAGAGTACTTTGAAATACTGCAGAAAGAAACCATCTTTTCAATGTGCAAAATATTAATAGTCAGAAATGAAAATTCGTGTCTTAAAAGGGCAAAAAGTCAAGATTGGGAAATTCGATTGTCCACAAATTTCTCCAAAATTAGTGAAATATCAAACTTATACAGCAAGCAGGAAGACAGCCGTAAAACAAATTTGTGACAAAGCTAAAAAAACAGAGCAACCAGAGGACCGCTGAAAGGATGAAAAATATTATCAGCGTGTAAACATAGTAACCCAAATGTCCTCATAAAGCTTATAAAAAATGCTTTGTAAATGCCTAAGTTTAAATTTAAAAATATAATAATAATCATAATAATCATGTGCAACACATATTGATATCTGTGAGATGAGTGTGTTAGTCTTAATTAAGCAATTCCTGCTTCAAGTTTGGAATTTTCAATCACATGGCATTAACGGAAAAAAGTTCAGCAATTATACCGACTATCATAGTGAATCGCCAACTCTAGAAATTTATATGCTAATCTTAATTAATAAATTCTATATTAGTGCTCACTTTTTTCATGCGTTACACACAGGAAAGCTTGGGCCTATATCTTTAGTTTACGATTTTCAACGTAAATTTGCATGCAACAAATATAGATATTCTGCAAACTGGCTAAATACATCTAATTGTTTATTTCCAAACAAAACAAATACAAAAAATGCAAGTTCGTTATGTGAAAGCAAAATTCATGGGGAAACAAAATTTCCATCATGATCATCATTTCGTGCTGAACACCCACAAACTCATAAATTCCGGTAGTCGTCTGATAAAAGTATAGAATCATAATTTCGACATTTTTTCTGTGAACGACAAAAAAATCTCTTTCCAATTCCAAAATCAACCCTCGATAATTATTACCAACTTCAAAGTCGACCGGTAAATGAAAAATAAAAGATGCCCTCTAACATGCAAACTCATAAATTTCTAAGTAGCAGTTATACAAGTACATCGATCAACAGCAAAAAATTAACATAAAATCAAAAATTAACTGCAACTATTGCTCCCCGCTGCCATCATTTCAACAATAAACATAGAAAAAAGGAACCCAATTTTCAAATGCAAACACACGGATCAATAAACCTCCAGAAAAAATCTAACAATGAAACACCCCAATGATATACACATATATACATAAACATAGAAAAAGGAATGAATTACCTGAAGTAAAAAATACAGAATTATTGATGTACGGAGAGAGAGTAGTCGACTGATTTGTTTATTGTTTGTTTTTTTTGTTTTTTTTTTTACATCCTCATCTTCGAGTTTTCTTCTCGTTTTCAAACCCTAGGTTCGGCTAAAAATTACCTAAACTTAGAATTATAATTAAATAATAAAAGAGAAACTAAAACCGCCTTTGTTTTCTAGTTTCTTATTGGCTGACAAAATGTAGTTTTACAAATTTAACCCTATTAGTCACGTTTGGAAAATAAGTGTGAGTAAGCTTTAATTATTTTTATTTTCAAACTTAAAATTATTTTTTTTTTCCACTTATAAATATACTTATTTGGTAACTTTTATAAATTTTGATCAATAATTTTATAAGTCACTTATTTTAAAAATACTTATTTACGTATAATTGAAATTTCAAGATTAGCGAAACATGCTTGGGCTAAATGTAAAAATAGTTCACTTAAAGCCCGTTTGATTAGTTTCAAACATATTTAAGTAATTACTTTTTGATTATTTTAAAATAATAATGGTAATAAGTAACTTTTACTAGGGTGAACACAAGTCGGATTGAGTAGTTTTAAGGGTCTATTATCAAATGAAACGATTTTTTGGAATTCAAGTTTTTTTCAAACTAGTCACTGTCACGTGCGTTGCACAAATTTTGTATTTATCGTATTTTTATTAACGTGCGAATTTTAATTTTTTGGAAAGTTTTTGAAGTAATTTTTAGAAATATTTACATGATATAAGAAAAGGATTCCAAATTATTTTTACAATTGTAACAGTATTGTGTTATCTAAAAAAAATATGCTTGTATATTTCATACTTGAATAAGAAATATGCGATGTTATACAAACTATTTTGCCTATATTCTTTGATAGTATTGATATGATTGGGTTGAATGTGAAGATTATATTTTCAAATTTTGTGTAATTCAATATTGAAAAATTGAAGATTAAGCACAAAATTATAAATCGACTTGCATATTCATATGTGTTTTATATTTTGTCCTTCATATATTTTAATATTTATTTTATACTTATATTGAAATTTTTAAAAAATTGAAATTTTTTTCTGACATTTGATTGGATAAGTGAATGTACGGTATACTATATTCTCGGTATTTATAAATGCAAAAAGCGATATATACGATAAGCCGCAAATACGGTAGGTAACATATACGGTAAGTTACAAATAGGGTAAATTGTCTGCATATACGGTAAGTCGTAAATACGGTGGACAGCATATACGATGTTGAAATTTATTGGAGTGGACGAAATCGGATTCATTCATACCGTATATGCGCTTTACATACCATATATGCAACATACCGTGTTTACGCATACTGTATTTACAGCATACCGTGTTTGCAGCATACCGTATTTGCATCATACTGTATATGTAGTATACCGTAGTTACAGCATACCGTATTTGCACATGTTATCTTTAGACACCGTATTTGGCAGATATTGATTTTTGTACATATCGTATATGCACTTTACATACCGTATATGCAATGCAACAAACCGTATTTACAGTATATAGTATTTGCATCATATCTTATTTATAGCATACCGTATTTGTATCATACCATATATATAGCATACCGTATTTGTATCATACCGCATTTACAGCATACCGTATTTGCACATATTGTCTTTAGATACCGTATTTGACAAATATTAATTTTTGTAATTCAATATTATTTTCTTTTTTATAATTGTATTTCCAGAAATTAAAAAAAAAAAAAAAAGAGGTGATTATGAAATTGCTAATTTTTAAATGTATTTTTTTGTTGAAGATAAAAAAGATTTTTTTATGCTATTTGTAAAACAAATATATATATATATATATATATATATATATATATATATATTATTGTAAATTTATTAGCCCTCTTTTACTGAAATTTAATTACAAGAATCCACCAAAACTAAATGTTTACATTAACTTTTGTAGTAGTTTTGAGAATTATTGAAGAAATCTAAATTATATTTGTTGAGTTTCTCCAGAGAGTTTGGAGAAACACTTTCAAACTCTCTGGAGAGTTTCTCTCCAAACTCTGTATTATGTGGAGAGAGTTGATCTCTCCGCATAGTTCGAAAAGATCAATTGATTTCTCCGCACAGTACTAAGAGAATTTTTTTTTTTTTTTTTTTTTTAATTTTTTTTTTTTTTTTTTTAAAAATTAAAGAAGATGGACTAATTGATGCATTTGTTCAGATTTTTCCCTTTTTTTTTTCAACGAGCTAAAAAGAGGAAAAATTCACCCTTGATTGCTGTCTAGATAAATTCTTTTTGTGTTTTGTGTTGTTCAAAGGTTGTTGTGTATGAAAGGTGGTCATAGGGATTTGATGATAGAAGGGTGCGGCGTGTGTATGAATTAGATGAAAACGGCTGGTTGGAATGCTGATTTTTGGATTTGAGAATGAAATTTATTTAGCCAAAGGAAAAGAACTTGTTCTGACACCAAATTGACGTATGAGCATATTATATTGACAATGAACAATTGTAAAAAAGAAGAAAAGGAGGTACAATGAGAGAAGAATTGATGGCAATGAAGAAATTAATTTTGTTCATATATTCAAGAGTATCTATTACAAAGAATAAAGCTCCCGATATGGAGAGTAAAAGCATCATTAAATGAGAAAATGGTATGCATAGTATAAACTACACTTGCTATTAATAATTATTATGAAGTCGTATATTACAATATCCTCGTTCAATCTCTCACTTTCCGCACTTTACTTTTCTCCGAACATTTGCAAATGCAGGAAGTTGGTCTTACTGGATCTTGATTATCTCAAAACATGTAGAAAAGGCAATTTATTTTTTTTGTTTCTCAAAGAGTACTTTGAAATACTGCAGAAAGAAACCATCTTTTCAATGTGCAAAATATTAATAGTCAGAAATGAAAATTCGTGTCTTAAAAGGGCAAAAAGTCAAGATTGGGAAATTCGATTGTCCACAAATTTCTCCAAAATTAGTGAAATATCAAACTTATACAGCAAGCAGGAAGACAGCCGTAAAACAAATTTGTGACAAAGCTAAAAAAACAGAGCAACCAGAGGACCGCTGAAAGGATGAAAAATATTATCAGCGTGTAAACATAGTAACCCAAATGTCCTCATAAAGCTTATAAAAAATGCTTTGTAAATGCCTAAGTTTAAATTTAAAAATATAATAATAATCATAATAATCATGTGCAACACATATTGATATCTGTGAGATGAGTGTGTTAGCCTTAATTAAGCAATTCCTGCTTCAAGTTTGGAATTTTCAATCACATGGCATTAACGGAAAAAAGTTCAGCAATTATACCGACTATCATAGTGAATCGCCAACTCTAGAAATTTATATGCTAATCTTAATTAATAAATTCTATATTAGTGCTCACTTTTTTCATGCGTTACACACAGGAAAGCTTGGGCCTATATCTTTAGTTTACGATTTTCAACGTAAATTTGCATGCAACAAATATAGATATTCTGCAAACTGGCTAAATACATCTAATTGTTCATTTCCAAACAAAACAAATACAAAAAATGCAAGTTCGTTATGTGAAAGCAAAATTCATGGGGAAACAAAATTTCCATCATGATCATCATTTCGTGCTGAACACCCACAAACTCATAAATTCCGGTAGTCGTCTGATAAAAGTATAGAATCATAATTTCGACATTTTTTCTGTGAACGACAAAAAAATCTCTTTCCAATTCCAAAATCAACCCTCGATAATTATTACCAACTTCAAAGTCGACCGGTAAATGAAAAATAAAAGATGCCCTCTAACATGCAAACTCATAAATTTCTAAGTAGCAGTTATACAAGTACATCGATCAACAGCAAAAAATTAACATAAAATCAAAAATTAACTGCAACTATTGCTCCCCGCTGCCATCATTTCAACAATAAACATAGAAAAAAGGAACCCAATTTTCAAATGCAAACACACGGATCAATAAACCTCCAAAAAAAATCTAACAATGAAACACCCCACTGATATACACATATATACATAAACATAGAAAAAGGAATGAATTACCTGAAGTAAAAAATACAGAATTATTGATGTACGGAGAGAGAGTAGTCGACTGATTTGTTTATTGTTTGTTTTTTTTGTTTTTTTTTTTACATCCTCATCTTCGAGTTTTCTTCTCGTTTTCAAACCCTAGGTTCGGCTAAAAATTACCTAAACTTAGAATTATAATTAAATAATAAAAGAGAAACTAAAACCGCCTTTGTTTTCTAGTTTCTTATTGGCTGACAAAATGTAGTTTTACAAATTTAACCCTATTAGTCACGTTTGGAAAATAAGTGTGAGTAAGCTTTAATTATTTTTATTTTCAAACTTAAAATTATTTTTTTTTTCCACTTATAAATATACTTATTTGGTAACTTTTATAAATTTTGATCAATAATTTTATAAGTCACTTATTTTAAAAATACTTATTTACTTATAATTGAAATTTCAAGATTAGCGAAACATGCTTGGGCTAAATGTAAAAATAGTTCACTTAAAGCCCGTTTGATTAGTTTCAAACATATTTAAGTAATTTACTTTTTGATTATTTTAAAATAATAACGGTACTAAGTAACTTTTACTAGGGTGAACACAAGTCGGATTGAGTAGTTTTAAGGGTCTATTATCAAATGAAACGATTTTTTGGAATTCAAGTTTTTTCAAACTAGTCACGTGCGTTGTACAAATTTTGTATTTATCGTATTTTTATTAACGTGTGAATTTTAGTTTTTTGGAAAGTTTTTGAAATAATTTCTAGAAATATTTACATGATATAAGAAAAGGATTCCAAATTATTTTTACAATTGTAACAGTATTGTGTTATTTAGAAAAAATATAATTGTATATTTCCTATTTGAATAAGAAATATGCGAGGTTATACAAAATATTTTGCCTGTATTCTTTGATAGTGTTGATATGATTGAGTTGAATGTGAAGATTATATTTCTAAATTTTGTGTAATTCAATATTGAAAAAATTGAAGATTAAGTACAAAATTATAAATCGACTTGCATATTCATATGTGTTTTATATTTTGTC